ACACGATCACCTTTTTAAAAGACCATGTCAGCGCAACGAGGCAGACGTGCGCGCATCGTGGAACAACCTCCATCACTTTTCATTTTGCGTTTAAAAATTGACAATGAAGTAATGGGCATCCATTTTTTTTCTTTAACTTTTGGAAAGAAATAGCTAAATAGGGGACGTACAGTCCTGATCTTTTCATGAAATGCAACACAGTCCCGACAAAACTTGTGAAGAAGCCCAACAGGACTACAGGAGATAAACTTCAGCATAAGGGAGATTAGTAAACTAATAAATCTCATTCCAATAAAAAAATGGAAAGAGAAGTGGAAGCAATTGAAGTACAAAAGAAAGCAGTACAAGCTTCCATCAACAGTACAACTGCAAACCTGTATGACAAACCCACTCAACAGTACAAATGACAAACTCATGCAGCTATTTTCCATTGGTGTGGAGTGTGAAGTGTGTGAAGTGTGTGAAGTGCAAACAAACTCACACTGCTACCTAAAGATTTTCCATTGGTGTGAACGGGACACTCTTGGGCCTATGCATCGCCATCCGATACCACACAAATGCAGAAACACATAGGGAGATTACAGAGAATAGAAGAGCAAAAGTGCCGGTGGTGTCATGGTTGCTGCTCGGTGCAGACTTGGTTAAGATAGGGCTGCCTGAAGAGATATCCAGTGGTACCCAATCACAGTTGATGGAATAGTGCCCAGACCCGTGCCAGGGTTTCCCATCGACTGGATACCAGAATGCAACAGACATCTTGCTTGATCCACCAATGGTGAACTGAGCATCCTGCAGACACCAGAGAACAATTCAATCATATTCCTAGACTCTTGCACGGTAAATAGTCATGACGTGATACAGCAGTATTACAGAATGAACTAGGCCTCGTATTTAATTGTCATTAAAAACGGTACTACATGACTTCCCTGCTTGTGAATGCAAGATAATTTGCTCATTTACTATCATAGGAACAAAATGAAGCTAAGGCTATGTTCGTGATAGGAATCTGAAGTCTTTTAATCAAGGGAATTGTACAACATTGCTAGTTCTATTTTTAACATGGGAAAAAATTGTAACTCCAAACCACAAGAAAAACAGAAATTAAAACAAAACCAAGCTTATGGCCTACTTTGATGAAAAAGTAAATGCTGTGTAAATAAAAACACAAAAACATTTTACCAAAAACACAACATAGGCTTCTTCTACTTGGTTAATATTTCCTACTAGTAGATATTCTAACCTGTTGGAGGTGATCCATGGTTCTCAAGGGCCTAGAAAATTCAAAGTAATAGGCTCCCTTCTGACCACCAGGGGTGTAAGGATTGTCTTCCTCCACAAATCCTGTAAGGAAAAATATAAGGCTTCTGTTAAAATATTAAAGATGAAGGATCACTTTCTACCATATCCAGTAAACGTTAAAAAAAGAAAAAAAGAAGAGTACTCGAGGGCAATATGGATAAACTGGAACCAAAAATTCATCACATCATAGGGAACAAAAGCAAATTGATTTGGTAATTTGCTAGAAAATACTATGCAATTGATGCATGGTAAACTGCCCTGCCTAATCACCCTTGATCCTGCAAAGGATAGCAACTAAATAACTAACAGTTAACAAACGCTACTCAAAATTTCTTGACAAAAACTTTTATAATATATAGCAATGTAGATCTAGCCAGTAATAGCTATCATGCATGAGCACATTCAGTCCTTTTTTAGAGGCTACATATTTTTCAATTGGATGACATAAATTTTTGGGAATCAGAATTGAGTATCCAACTGCCAGAAGCACGGCAAAACTAAATCTAGAATTCATATAATTAATTACCTGATTGAGAACTAATGCTGCTGTGCCACCATGCTCCTTTCCAGTTATTCTGTGCACTAGAATCATTTTCTAGGGAAAAAAAAAAACGATTGAGTGAAAATTTTGAATAAGGCATTAAAATTAGATTACAAAAGAACGTATTTTACTGGGTAGACCTTTGGGGGAGTAGTAAATTGAGTTCAACGCAACATAAAGCCACAAAAAAACATTAAGCAGTGCATGTCAAGCAAAGAATTGTTTTCTAAAAGCCAAACAATCAACCAAAAGTCTGCTAACAAAGAACAGTAAGTCACTGCATAGGCTGAGTGCTTTGGAGCTACTTTTAATAAGGAAAAAGATACACCATTGATTAGCAAGAAAATGCCACAATTGGTTCCACACGTTGATCAGGTTGCCTTACCATAGCTCAACAGGATAATGCAGAAGTTCAACAATCTGAATACTTTGTTTTTATGCTTAAATCTGAGATGATATGTTCTTGTTCAAAGTTAAATTTCTCAAAGGTATACAAACCAGTTGAGAGTAAGAAATATATTTTAAAACCAGTTGAGAGTAAGAAACTTCTTTTGGTCCTCTACCTAAAATAAATAATTCTAACACCACAAAGTGAGAGATCAAATAGGTAAGTAATGTGAGTGAAGAAGATTCATAAATGAGACTAAGACAAAGGAGTAATTGGTAAAATTTTGGCCAAAGATGATGCATCAGAAATGGAGTAACAACCTATAATAAAATAATTTAGATTTGCATCATACTATACTTCTTTTTCTTAGATGATAACATAGGTATAAAGACCTTTGGCCCAACTAATCCCACAAGCACCAGCAAACCACCTTGCCCTAGGCACGGTAATGCTCCACCTTCAAGAGTGATGGGCGTGGCCCATTAGAAGGCTAAAGGCAGTGACAAAGATCTAACTTCAAAGTTCAAACAGTTAAAAGTAGATAATGCAGCAGAATGATGAGCTAGTCTAGCATACTTGGTGGCAGACATGCACTATAAAGGCACATATAAAAATAGTTTAACATTTTCAATCAAAACAGAAACAAATTGATGTGCCATATTGATGATTTGATCATAAAAGAAGCACTTAAAGTTTTCATTATCTTCAAAAGCTCCATCTGGACCACCTAGTGGGTGCCAAGAATGGAGTACTTGAAAAAAGATAAGCTTTGACTTTTGTCATTCTATAACCTTATTGGGCTCTGGTTTCTTTTAGTCACTTCCTTCAGTGCCTTATCCCACTTTCTTTTTTCCTTTCTTAAAGAAAGTTCCATCCCTTTCAATTTAGTCAAGCGTATCTCACTTCTATAAAAGCACTCCAACATAATAATTTAATCAAATAAATACCTGAACGACCAATGCCATCGAGGTATCTACAGTGTGGGTTCCAAGCATATAGATCAACCAAATGACCAAATCTGTTGATGACATAACCAGAAAAATAAAGGAAAACATTAGTTATAAAGTGCTGAGTCTGCAAGGTTGTTCAAGGTAGTACATCAGTCACAATTTTGGTTGTACAATTGTACTACACCAAGAAAGCTTGTAAATCTGTTGATGACATAACCAGAAAAATAAAGGAAAACATAAGTTATAAAGTGCTGAGTCTGCAAGGTTGTACAAGGTAGCACATCAGTCACAGTTTTGGTTGTACAATTGTACTACACCAAGAAAGCTTGTAATTGTACTACATCACCTGTCACCTCCAGTTCCATTGCTATTGTCAATTGGATTGCCACCATAGAGCCGTCCTGGAATAGCTGTTCCAATCGAGAAATGCATCATGTCAACTTCATGGCCTTTGCAATTCTTGTTAGTGCAAGAGTCAGGCCCTTCTTTACACCCACCCATCTATCACCAAATGAAATTTTCGAGTTTTTAGTTCTAGCACAAGCAAAATCCAATGAAAAAGAACAGATATTATAGCAAAGAAAAACAAAGAGTTTGCTTAATAACTCACATTATGATAGGAAGCATCTCCACCAATTTGAAACATAAGGGCCACAGATGGACATTTCCTGCTGTCTCTGTATCGACACCACAGATCCAATTCAACAAAAAGGAAAAAGGGTTCAATTTTGTGAAGTCAAACCCAATATGGTTAAAAAATGCACCCTATTGATCATGCCTAATAGAATGTCATCATGGGAACCGAAATTCACGCCTGCCAGAACCAAGAGGAGAGAAGGATTTATGCATCACAAAATAAATAGAGTGATGCGTGTAGCAGACTCTTCCTCCAGACTCTCATCATATCATCTCAAAGAAACGAATATATTCTCTGACTATTTCATCTTCGGTTGCGTTAAGCACTAAATATGCTACTATAATGAGAAATGTCAAAATCAAACAGGATCAAGCAGGTGACAGTCTCTTGGGATTAGATGAAATTACTCCAAATTGGATCCTGGGTCAGCTATGTGACTAACATATTGAATTGGAGAAATCAAATGGAACAAATCAAACCCATCAAAAACTTTCTACCAAAAAAAAGAACCCATCAAAAACAAAGGGAAAAAAAAAGAAAAGGGAAAAGGATTAATCTAACTCCTTTTACAACAAAGACGAAATTTGTTTCTTACCCATTCACGTATGCATAGTCCCCATCAACTTGCAACAAGAAGAAGACATCCTTTCCATCATGCAAAGCCTGCAAAACCGCACATATCAATCAAAAAGTTGATCCATCATTCTATCACTTATTTAAACGAAATCCATCTTCCGTTTAAGCAGTACCTTAACGGTCATTTTTCCACCGGCGTACTCGTGGTCCTCGTCGGGATCCAGAGCAGGACGGAGAGAGAATTCCGAACCATCAATGTCCTCCCAATCGTCGGCGAGGCCATCGAGGGTGATGAGTCCAGGTTTGTAATCGGCCTGGACTCGGATCTCCGACTCCGATTCGCAAGTCCACTCACCTGTTTCCTGGTGCGCGTTGACCCACGGGATCAATCCCAGGAGGGAAAGTAACAGCAGAGCCCGAAGCATCGCAGAAGACGAGAAATTTCTCCTTATTGAAGAGGGTGCTCTTCGTTTGCCGTCGTATTTGTGTGTACTCCAGTTTTTGTACTGCATTGAACATTCTCTCCTTGAGCCGACCAATGGAACAAATTCGCGCTTTGACCATGATGGCTTTTGATGACAAATACTCCAATAGAAAGTTTTTGAGTTTTGACAATTCAACTTAAATAAGTACTATTATTAATAATAAGAAAAGTGAAATCTGCCGACACGAGTAATGTTTAAATATAGTGCAGTTTGTGTAAACTATTTTTTTATTAACATTTTGGCTATTTAAAAATTATATTAATAAGTAATTAGTAGTTTATGTAAATTAATATTTTAATTAATAATTCTCTTAATATTAATATTAATTGTATTTTATAATTTATTAATTTGAAATAAAAAAATGAATTTTTAAAATAAAATTTTGAACTTAAATCTTATGAATAAATAAATAAATTTTATCATTTTGTAAGAAATTTTTTGAGATTTAACACAATTTGATTTTAAATTAATAAATTAATTAAAATCTAATATAAATTTTAGATATTATAGTTAGTAAAAAAATTAATTGCAAATTTTTTAGATTGTAATAATTTATTTTAATTTAAGAGATTAAATATATATTATTTGTTTTTTTAACATAAACAAGTAGATATTTTGTAATTTGGAGATTAATTAAATCCACCTATCTAAACCATATGGGAAAGAAGAAATTGCTTCAATATCCATTTTATCTTGAGAAAATTTGATGCATGCTTTTACCATGTATAGCACGCATGGTAGTGCATTTTTTTCATCTAATTTAAACTTGTTTAGAACTCTCTAGAACAATATAATGAACAGTAACACTTTTTGTTCACCGCGTTCGATACATGTGGGTAAATGCTTCAATCAATCATGCAATCGAATAATTGAGAGGCCCCAGACCCAGCCTCATCAATCTTGTTTTTTTTTTTTTTTTCGAAGAAAATAATTAAAAGTTAAGTTAATATAAAGTTTAAACATTGATAAGGGGTATAATTTATCGACAACTTGTTGAGTTGTAGTAGTCATTAATAAATCACAATAAGAGAATGCATCTTGTTTTTAATAAACGGATGAGCTAACGTTCGGAGATGGCCTGTCAAAAGGCATATAGCCGTTGCGTCCAAGCGATATGTGTATGAAGCCATCACATTTGCGCACCCATTGGTGGCCTGGTGGTGAACATGATGTAATTTGCAATCCCAGTCCTTCGCTAATAATTTCTTGTAATTTATTTTTTAGTATTAAACCTTGTATCGAGAAATTATATTATGTTTTAATTAATTTAAAATTAAATTCAATTAGTTATTATAAAAATTTATTTATTTATTTTTTTATTTATAACACTCAAAAATTAAAATATTATTTTAAAAAAACTGAGTTATTTTTACTTGCAGTAACAAATCATTGGTAGTTTATTGCAATTTATTGACAACGAATTATAAAGCATCAGTCTGCTTTCTTTTACTTTCTGTATTGCTAATTAGGAATTCGACTCAACTAGAATGTTTATAATTTCATTTTCCTACGCAGACGTGGAGCCTCGCCAAAGAGCGCAGAGTTCAGCCCCATGCCACCAAGCCCGTGCCTATCTGCACGGAGCATCCAAACAACCACTGACCATACGCATTCCTGCACGCCCCCGGCTGCTGCCGCTGCGTCTGGGAGTCCTCCGAGCGGGAGCCATCCATGTTCAATTTCTCAAAGCCAAGAGCGCGATGCATGCTAGCCTCCCTACAAGTCTCTCACGCCTTGATTTTAAACTCTATTATGAGTTTTGTTTATTAGTGTTGTGTTGTATTATATTGCATTGTTAGTGGTATAAGTTTTTTTATTTTTTATATTGTATTATTTTTAAAATCTAATATATTAATTAAAATTAATAAAGATGTAAAAAATAGTTTAAAATAATTAATAATTAAAATTTTATACTTTTTATTAGACCTGACAAACGAACAAGATGAGTCAGATTTAAGTTGGGTCAACTCGGATGACGGATTATATGGGTTAGGTCATGAACGAGTTATGGGTTGAAAAATCCTAACCTTAACGGGTTATGAGTTAATCTGTGAGTTAATCTTATTTTTATTTATTATTATTATTTTATTATTAATTTTATTGTATACAAATAAAATTATATATATCTAAATTTAATTAAAATATTATGATTCATTAAAATTAAATACTTTATAGTCTTAATCACAAATAATTAAATTAAAAAAAATCATAAAGTTATAAATAATAATAAGTTGATTAATAATAACAATATTAAACATAAAATATTTAAATTTCTTGAAAAATAAAGTTTTAATTTTACAATTATCTTGAAACATTATCAAGGAGTTTGAGCCCTTTTTTTTATGATAAATTGCTTTTCCAAGAACATCTTTCATTAAATTATTATGTTTATATCATAACATCACATCGTTTAATATTTTTAGTTGCATTATCATTTCATTCATAACACTTAGGTAATTGTTAATACCCAAAAGAAAAAAAAAATGATAGTTGAATAATTAGATCAAATTCATCATAATTTCTTTGTTTTTCTCTAGAAATTAGAGAGTATGAATTAATTGATGAAGTTATCAATAGAAAAATTAATTAAAAACAATATGTATAATACTTAAAAGTAATAATAAAAAATAAAATAAACGAGTCAATCCGTCAACTCGCAGGTTGATCCTAACCGAATCCATGACCCGTACAAGTTGATAATACAGGTTATTTATGGTTTGCGAGTTGAGATAGGTAGACCCTAACCCATTTTTACAGGTTCAGTTAGAATCGGATAGATTTTTGCCATGTATACTTTTTATAAAGTTAAATACTGCATAAAAAAATTAAGTAGTGATGTAGAGATAACTTTTT